AAAAAAAAAAAAAAAAAAAAGTTGAAAGATGACTATTAGAAATCAGGCTGAGGGATTGATAGTGATCAAGTGGTGGATCTGATAGAAACAGGGTGGTCACTGCAAAAGAAGTCAGGTGATTGAACCAATAGAGTTGGCAGCACTCACCCAGCAGAGTCCATAGAGATTGGGCAAGAGACTGATGGCAACTGAACAGTTATTCTGAAGGAAACTGGGCTATAAGGAGGTAGAGGGTCTGAAATACGTCAAGTGGAAAAAATAATACAGAATGTCTAACAGGTATCAGAATGGAAAAGGGATTCCTAAAAGAAACAAGGTAGATACGGGCCTGCCTGAAGAAGTAGGTGACAGTCCCATTAGAAATAAAGTTCTCAGACCAAAAGAAATCAAGAAAGAAACCTAGTAGTAGAAAGAAGAAAGTAGAAAGTAGTAGAGAAAAACCTGGAAGAAGTCAGAGGCCGGGGTGATGGCTCAGGCCTGTAATCCTCGCTCTTTAGGAGTCTGAGGTGGGAGAGTGCTTGAGGGCAGGAGTTTAGGACCAGCCTTGGCAATAGTGAGACCCCCCAATCTCTACAAAAATATGTATATGTATTTTTAAAATTAGCTGGGTGTGCATCTGTGGTCAGTCCCAGCTACTTGGGAGGCTGAGGCAGGATAGCTTGAGCCCAGGAGTTTGAGGTTGCTGTGAGCTATGATTGGGCAGCTGCACTCTAGTCAGCTGGCAAAGCAAGACCCTTTCTCCAATGAATCGACGAATGAATGAAGTCAGAATGCAGGTAAGTCTAAGAAAAATCAGGCAGCAGATGAGAGAAATGCAGCAGTGTGTATAAAAGAAGTCAGAAAGTAGGCAGCGGACACAGCCCGGCTGTGGGCTCACAGGCGCAGACTCCTTGCATCTAAGGGCTTTGCATTTAAGCAGATGGGAAAAGAGCAGGCAGAGTCTGGGCCCTTGGAGGGCCGGTGACCGACCTAGCATGCCTCTCAGGTGCGGCAGCTTCAGGAAGGGGCAGCCCAGCTGCGGACGGTGTATGCGGGTGAACACGCCGAGACCATCGCCAGCCGGGAGCAGGAGGTGCTGCAGGGCTGGAAGGAGCTGCTGGCAGCCTGCGAAGATGCTCGCCTACATGTCAGCTCCACAGCCGATGCCCTGCGCTTCCACAGCCAAGCCCGAGACCTGCTGTCTTGGATGGATGGTATCGCCGGCCAGATCGGGGCAGCTGACAAGCCCAGGTGCCCCTTAGCCCTCCTCAGGCTCCCTACCTGTCTCTGACAGTCTCCCTCAGCCACCCCCAGCCCATCCACAGTTCCCGTCCCATAAGAAGTCACAACAGCTAATACCTGCATGGCACCTCTATGTGGCAGGCACTGTTCTAGATGTTTCATGTAAATTAGGACTCCTTGTCAGGCCTGAAATTGTGGACTTAAGGCACTGGCATCCTCCTGCCCTCTGTCTTTCCCAGTCCCCCACTATTGCCCTCTCCATGGGGATGTCTCAACATGGGATGGGCTGGGCCAGCAGTGGGGCAGGGGAGGTGTGGGACTGTATCTGTCAGGGTGGAAGAACAACTCTAACAAACAGTCCTAGCATCTCGGTGGCTTAACCTAGTGGGCACTGATTTATTGCTCACATAGTGGCTCACAGTGAGCATGCAACAGAAGTCTTTCCCAGGTGGTTGGGAGTCAGAGGACTTTCATCACTTGGTCTGGAGAGTCACTTGCTGGACCCTCTGGATCCCACTGTATGTGGGCAAAGACAGCAGGAGCCTCAGCATAGAAGGGTTTAGGGACTAAGCCTGTGTCAAACGCTGCTGGCCAAATGGCAACCTGTCTGCCAAGGAGGCTGGAAATTTAATACCATGGTTTTGGCCAAGAAGAAAAGGACCTGGAAAATGGTGGGCACTGGCAATGTTTCTGTGACCGTGGGGGTCTTGCGCCTGCACTCATTTACTCAGCAAATGTTTACTGAGTGCTTGCTGGGTGCCAGATGCTGAGCAAGGCCTGTGTTACCCTGAGGCAGCTCACTATCTGACCGGGGAGTAAACGCGCACATCCTGCTGCTTCACCAAGTAGTAAGTGCTGTGAAGGAAAACATGGTGAGGTGAGGGAATGAGACCATAGCTGGCAAGGCCTCTCTGAGGATGTGACATCTGAGTGGAGAACTGAATTAAGTGATGGGTGAACCTGGTAAAGTTTTGAGGGAAGATTTTTCAGGTGTTGGGGTCAGCAAGTGCAAAGGCCCTGGTGGGGGGCGTAGTTGGGTACATTTGGGGAGGTGAGAAAATCATTGCAGCTGGATAGAACAAGGAAGGGGAGAGTCAAGAGGGAGAGAAAATGAGAACAGAGGGGTAGTAGCAGCTATGCGTGGTGAGGAGTGTGTCTCCTCTCTAAGTGTCCTGGGAGAGTTCAGAACAGGGAGGGATGTGACAATGTACAGTGGAGAAAAATCACCCCAGTTACTTGTGGGGAATACACTGTAGAGAACAAGAGTGGAAGCAGGTAAGCCAGCCGGGAGGCTCCTGCTGTGATGCGGGTGACAGACCATGCTGGCTTGGGCCATCCATGGGGGTTGTATGTAGAAATGGAGAGAAAAAAGGGCTTGATTTTAAGAAATTTAAAATCTTGGCTCGGCGCCTATAGCTCAACCGGCTAAGGCGCCAGCCATGTACACCTAAGGTGGCGGGTTCAAATCCCCAGCCCGGACCCGCCAAACAACGATGGCTGCAACCAAAAAAAAAATAGCCAGGCGTTGTGGCGGGCGCCTGTGGTCCCAGCTACTTGGGAGGCAGAGGCAGGAGACTTGCTTGAGCCCAGGAGTTGGAGGTTGCTGTGAGCTGTAATGCCACGGCACTCTACCCAGGGGGACAGCTTGAGGCTCTGTCTTTAAAAAAAAAAAAAAAAAAAAAAAATTTAAAATCTTTTACTTAGGAAAAATTTCAAATCACAGAAAATTAGAGGTAACAATGTAGTGAACCCACATGTGTATTGTGAACACCTGGCTTAAACCACCATCACTGTTTGGCTAGTCTCATTCCAATAGTACACTCCCCCCACCATTGCCCTTCCTCCCCTGCTGAGTTATCTTTAAAGCAATCTTAGCTTCATGTCATTTCACAGGGTGTATTTTAAAGTTACAAATGTTCGGTCCTAGGTTGGGTGTGGTGGCTCACACCTGTAATCCTAGCACTCTGGGAGGCCGAGGTGGGTGGATTTCCTGAGCTCATGGGTTTGAGACCAGCCTAAGCAAGAGCGAAACCCTGTCTCTAAAAATAGCTGAGCGTTGTGGCAGGTGCCTGTAGTCCCAGCTACTACTTGGAAGGCTGAGGCAAGAGAATCACTTAAGCCCAAGAGTTTGAGGTTTCTGTGAGCTATGATGCCACAACACTATATCGAGGGTGACAAAGACTCTGTCTCAAAAAAAAAAAAAAAAGAAATGTTCAGTCCTGACTGAAGGACCGGCTTCAGGGGCTAAGGGAAAGAGAAGGGTCATTGATGAATGATGGGTGAATTTACTCAAATGGAAAGAAGAGGTCATGTTTGGGGAATGGGGGAGGATCAGAAATTCTAGTTATATTAACTTTCATTACAATGTGGGACCTCCAGAAGTAAGTTTGGACACATTTTATATTAGTCCATTCTCTATTATTATAACAATGCCACAGATTGGATAATTTATAAAGAAAAACATTTATTTAGTTCATAGTTCTGAAGGCTGGGAAGTCCTAGAGCATGGTGCTAGCCTCTGGTGGGGCCTTCATGGTATGTCACAGAATGGTGGAGGACATTACAGGGTGAGAGGGCAAGTATGTGCTAGTTCTGGTCTCTCTCTCTCTCTCTCTCAAGCTGTTAATTCTTGGGGTCCCACCCTGATGACTTCATCTAATGGTAATTACCTCTCAAAGGCCCCACATCCAAATTCTTACATATCAGTTTGGGTGTTAAGTTTCTAACATATGAAATTTGAGAGACCATGGACATGGTGGCTCATGCCTGCAATCCTAACACTCTGGGAGGCTGGGGTGGATGGATCCTTTGAGTTTAGGAGTCCAAGACCAGCTTGAGCAAGAGCACGACCAACTCTCTACTAAAAGTAGAAAAATTAGCCAGGTGTTGTGGTGGGTGCCTGTAGTCAGTCCCAGCTACTTGGAGACTGAGGCAAGAGGATCACTTGAGCCCAGGAGTTTGAGGTTGCTGTGAGCTAGGCTGATGCCACAGCACTCTAGCCTGGGGCAACAGAGTCAAGACTCTATCTAAAAAAAAATAATAATAATACCAGAAAGAAAGAAATTTAAGAGACACATTCAAACCATACTGTAAAGCTGTGATTTACCAACTGGTGGAACCTTCAGAAATTTGGAATTGATTTTGAACATATGATGGCTTAGAGTAGCACTGTCCAATAGTTATAAAATGTGAGCTACATATACAATTAAGAGTTTTCTTGTAACCACATTAATGAAGTAAAAGGAAGCAAGTGAAAATTATTTTAGTAATACATTATTTGACCCAACAGACTCCAAATAATATCACTTCAACATGTAGTCAGTATTAAAATTATTAATGAGACATTTAACTTTTTTTTTACACTAAACCCTCACAATGTGGTGTGTACTTTAGCCTTCAACATATCTCAATTTGGAATGGACTAGTCACAATTCCAGTGCTCAATTGCTATGCAAGTTTGGTGGTCACTGCATCGGACAGCACAGACTTGGAAAGTTAGAATCCACTGGCTAGTGGAACCTTCAGAATTACAGAAAGTTAAAAAATTTAGATTTCAAGATCCAAAGGTTAGAAGGTTAGAATTACAAAAATGTGAAATTTTGGAACCTTGGAAATTTGGAATCATTGAACTACTGAAGAGTCTTGGACCCTCAGGACTTGGTCAGAGAAGGTAGGTGTGTATGGAAGTGGTGTGGGATATCAGCCTCAGGGCTGTGAGTTCACCAGGAGCTGCTTTAAGGGCGGGCCCACACAGGCCGCTCATAGCTGAGATCCCTCTCTCCCTGCCTGCCACCCACTGCAGGGATGTGTCATCGGTGGAGGTGCTCATGAACTACCACCAGGGCCTGAAGACGGAGCTGGAGGCCCGGGCACCTGAGTTGACTGCTTGCCAGGAGCTGGGGCGCTCTCTGCTGCTTAACAAGAGTGCTATGGCTGATGAGGTGGGGAGGAGCATGGGGGACCCCCTCTGCCACCCAGGCACACTGGGGGGTGGGAGCCATCCTTGACTCACCTCCTACCCACACTCCCAGATTCAGGCACAGCTGGACAAGCTGGGGACCAGGAAGGAGGAGGTGTCAGACAAATGGGACCGTCATTGGGAGTGGCTGCAGCAGAGTGAGTGGGGGCCCAGACACATGTGGATCAGGGCACAGGGACATGGTCCAGCATTCCCAGAGAAAGCCCAAAGGGTGACATAGGCATGCTTTGCACACTACCCATGGGTCTCCAGAAGCAAACATAAGGACTGGGAGGGTGAACAGGGGTCTGCCTTGCCACTGGATCCCTGGTGGCAGACACCTGTAGAGAAGCTGGTGCCCACAGAAACAGCCCCAGCCTCTGTCATTCCTATAGAGCCCATAGTGGTCAGGGCTGGGACAGGGGAAGCCAGAGGGGTATAGAAGGACAGAGAAAACAGCCTGGAAGGACACCTGGAGTCCCCAGCCCCTGACCCCACATACCTCCCTCAGTGTTGGAAGTGCACCAGTTTGCCCAGGAGGCGGTGGTGGCTGATGCCTGGCTGACAGCCCAAGAGCCTCTGCTGCAGAGCCGGGAGCTGGGCAGCAGTGTGGATGAGGTGGAGCAGCTTATCCGGCGACATGAGGCCTTCCGAAAAGCGGCTGCAGCCTGGGAAGAGAGGTTCAGCTCTCTGCGGCGCCTGACCACGGTCAGACCCCCAGATCCTATCCCATGCCCCCACACAACGACTCCCCCAGCCCAGCCCTCTATATGGGACAGACACATCCAGACTTAGTGTTCTGTCTTGTTGCACGAGGGCCAAGAAAGACCTTTCTAGGCTCCCAGTGGGGCACAGGAACAGATCTGTCACCATACAATGAAAGCCCAGAGTAGTCAGGGATGATCTGGAGAGACAAAGAGGCACTTGTTGTGTCCTGAGGGAGTCTGGTCTGAAACTTGAAGAATGAAGTGAAGAGACTATTCTAATAAAAAGTCTTAAGGTCTTCACTCTGGGAGGCTGAGGCAGGTGAATTGCCTGAGCTCACAGGTTAGGGACCAGCCTGAGCTGGAGTGAGACCTCATCTCTAAAAATAGCTGGGTGTTGTGGCAGGTGCCTGTAGTCCCAGCTACTTGGGAGGCTGAGACAAGAGAATCACTTGAGCCCAAGTATTTGATGTTGCTGTGAGCTATGATGCCATAGCACTCTACCAAGGGTGACAAAGTGAGATTCTGTCTCAAAAGAAAAAAAAATCATAAGGTCTTGGGTGCACCATTAAGAAAGGAGGAAATGGGGGTCAGAAAGGTATCCAGATGGAAGGCTGAAGCAGGTTGATTGCCTGAGTTCAGGAGTTCGAGATCAGACTGAGCAAGAGAGATCCTGTCTTTACTAAAAATAGGGCCCGGCTCATGCCTGTGATCCTAACACTTTGGAAGGGCAAGGTGAGTGGATCACTTGAACTCAGGAATTCAAGACCAGCCTGAGCAAAAGTGAGACCCCCATCTCTACTAAAAATAGAAAAACTGGCTTGGCACCTGTGGCTCAAGCAGCTAAAGCACCAGCCACATACACCAGAGCTGGTAGGTTCGAATCTAGCCCAGCCCACCAAACAACGATGGCTGCAACCAAAAAATAGCTGGGCGTTGTGGTGGGCGCTTGTAGTCCCAGCTACTTGGGAGGCGGAGGCAGGAGAATCGCTTTAGCCCAGGAGTTGGATGTTGCTGTGAGCTGTAATTCCACAGCACTCTACCCGGGTGACAGCTTGAGGCTCTGTCTCAAAACAAACAAACAACCACCACCAACAAACAAATAGAAAAACTAGCCAGGCATTGTGGCAGGCCTCTGTAAAAGAATAACTTGAGCCTGTGAGTTTCAGGTTGCTGTGAGCTATGATGCCACAGCACTCTACCCAGGGGGACAGAGTGAGACTCTGTCTCAAAAGAAAAAAGAGAGAGCGAGAGAGAGACAACCTTTCTCTACTAAAACCAGAAAAACTAGCTGGTCCTTGTGGCAGGTGCCTGTGGTCCCAGCTATTGAGAGGCTGAGGTAAGAAGATCGCTTGAGCTCAGGAGTTTGAGGTTGCTGTGAGCTGTGATGCCATGTACTCTACCCAAGGTGACAGTGAGACTCTATCTAAAAAAGAAAAAGCGAAAAGGAAAGGCACCCAGAGAAAGTATTAATTAGTCAGTTCTTAAAAGTAATAGGTGTTTGAGAGAATAGAAATTAAGTCCTTGCTAGAGAGCAAAGCTTGGGCCCAGGCCTGGACAACCTTGCTCTTTCAAAGAACTGATAAAGCGTGGCGTGGTGGCTCACTCCTGTAATCCTAGAACTCTGGGAGGGCAAGGTGGGTGGATAGCTTGATCTCCAGTTTGAGACCAGCCTGAGCAAAAGTGAGACCCCGTCTTTACTAAAAATAGAAAAACTGAGGCAAGAGGATTGCTTGAGCTGGAGTTGGAGGTTGCTGTGCGCTATGACGCCACACCGCTCTACACAGGGTGAGAGCTTGAACAAACGAACGAACAAAACTGATAGAGTGTAGAGGCAGAAAAAACCTTCTCGGACCGCTCCATCATGAGCCTTTTCTCCACCCCCAAGCCTTCAACTTGACCCTGGTCCCTCTTCCCTCAGATCGAGAAACTCAAGGCAGAACAGAGCAAGCAGCCGCCCACCCCGCTGCTGGGGCGCAAGTTCTTTGGGGACCCCACGGAACTGGCAGCCAAGGCGGCGCCCCTGCTGCGGCCAGGGGGATATGAACGGGGCTTGGAGCCCCTGGCCCGTCGGGCCTCGGACACGCTGTCGGCGGAGGTGCGGACTCGGGTGGGGTATGTGCGACAGGAGCTCAAGCCCGAGCGTCTCCAGCCGCGCATTGATCGCCTGCCGGAGGTTCCCGGCAGGGTGGAGCCCACCGCTCTGCCGGCCGCACCAGAGGACGCATCGGAGACCCCAGTGGCTCCCGCGGCGACAGAGCAGGTCCAGCCGCGGCCAGAGCGCCAGGAGTCAGCTGATCGCGCGGAGGATCTGCCCAGGAGGCGGCGGCCAGAACGCCAGGAGTCGGCCGACCAAGCTGAGGAGGCTGCGCGGAGGCGGCGGCCTGAGAGGCAGGAGTCCGCGGAGCACGAGGCAACCCACAGCCTTACCTTGGGCCGATATGAGCAGATGGAGCGGCGGCGGGAGAGGCGGGAGCGGCGGTTGGAGCGGCAGGAGTCCAGTGAACAGGAGATGCCCATCAGGGGAGACCTAGCCAAGGGGTGAGGGACTGTGTGACCAGGGAGTTAAGGGGAAAGGAAGCGCAGAGCCCCACAGCCGCACAGGCCTTGGTGGAGGGGCTGAGGGTTCAGAACTTCCTAAAGAGGGAGCTACTGTCGTGGTACCCATTTTGCGGAGGTAGAGGAGATAGGCCCATTGTTCCACAGAGGCAGCCCTTCCTGTTAGAGGAAAAGGCAGAGTGCTTTCCTCCAGGGGCAGGTTCTCAGTCACTGGGTTCTAACGCCTGTAACCAAGTCCTCTGGGCGCCCCTGGGCTGTGATTTTGTCCTGTCTGCATCTTAGTTTCTTCACTGGGCTAGTGGTGGAACCATTACTGCCTTGGGAAGACCCTTTATCTCAGTTTCTCTCAACAGCCTTATGATGTGGGTACTCCGTTGTATGGATAGGGCAACTGAGGCGCAAAGAAGACCCATCACTCAGTTTAGATGAATCAGGACTGGAACTCAGGCCTTTCAGAATCCAGAGTTAACCAGAGTGTATGGTGCAGAGTAGTCCAATCAGCTGTGTTTCCAGAAAGAGGCCTTTGGTCAAAAGACAATGACTTCTTGACCCTTTTAAAACTTCACATTTCAGGAACATTTGCTGAATGCCCACTCTGTGCCTGATGAGAACAGTGATTTAAATAGTCACAGCCCTGCCTTCATGGGGCTCACAATCCAGTGGGGGCAACAGACTGACCACTAGTGAAGAGCCAGAATGATTAGGGCTGGTAACTGTCAGGAATGTAGGAAGGGGCTGTGCTTGGGAGCTCAGTGGGTGGGTGGAGAAAGGCAAGGAAGGGCTGAAGGCACGTTCTGGATTTTCCTTTTTTGTGCTGCTAAAAACTCAAAGGAAAGAGAGGTTCAGTCCTGCATTCAGCAGGCATGTCCTGAATACCTGTGGTATGTAAGGCCAGCATCTGAGATAGCTGCAGAAGTGAACAGAGGCCTGGCATCTCAGGTTGAGGGGGGGAGGCTCCTCTGTCCAGCCAGCAGGTCCCTAGGAAAAGATACTACAGTTCCATTGGGTCTTTCTGTTCCCTACCACCACCAGGAAGGCTACCCTGGCTGACATCGTGGAGCAGCTGCAGGAGAAAGAGGCAAGCCCAGGGCTCCCTGTTGGGGTAAGTTGAACCTCTCCGTGGGTGGGGATATGGGAACCCCTCTTCTCAGAGCAGGAGTAAGGAAATCAGAAACAAACAGTGCTAGGCCTGGACCCATCCTCCTACCTGAACCCTGCAGAGACAGCATGGTCTCTCAGGACCCCCAGAGTCTGAAAATTTCTTGATTAGAAAAATGGGGCGCTGACATAAGAGACCCCTGCTCCCCTCCACACACTCCAGACTCTACCAACATCTATCCTGGGCTCCATATTTCTTCCGCCCCGTGGGTCCCAAATTTCCTCATAGATGGCCACGTACACACACAGAAGGAAGCCCCAGATTGCTCCTACAGACAGATGAGACACCCATATGCTAGCACCCATACTTCCACAGATCTAGCCCCCTCTTCTCACCATCAAGAGAAATGCCAAAACCCATGAGTCCTAACAGATTCACTCCCAAGACCCCTGGGGCACCTAAGAGTTGGATCTCCATCCCTGAGGTCCTCCCATATTCGTCTCCAGACAAATGGTCCTTCAGACGTATGGGACCCCAGACCCATGAGCTCCCCCAGACAGATGGCCCCCATGCCCCCAATGGACAGCACCCCTCTTCCCCCTCCCTTCACACAGCCGCCTCTGCCTCAGCCTCGCGAGCTTCCCCCTGGCCGCCTGCCCAACGGGCTTGAGCCGCCCGATCGGACACCTCGGCCGGACCGGCCGCGGGCGCGGGATCGGCCCAAGCCGCGACGGCGGCCGCGGCCGCGAGAGGGTGGTGAGGGCGGGGGAAGCAGGCGCTCGCGCTCCGCCCCGGCCCAGGGCAGCTCCGCCCCCGCGCCTCCGCCACCGCCCACTCATACAGTGCAGCACGAGGGCTTCCTGCTGCGCAAGCGTGAGCTCGACGCTAACCGCAAGTCGTCCAACCGGTGAGCGTGTGGGCGGGGTTTTGGAAGGTGGGTCCCAAGCTCAGGGTGTCCAATGAGTGAATAGATGGGCTTGCGGAGGGGGTGTGACTCAAATGCAGGACCCCAACCGGTTGGTGGGTGGGGTCAGAGACGGGGTGGGGGTGGGGTGGGGCAGGGAGCGGGGATCAACATATGGGAATCCAGTCACTGAACAGTAAAGGAGGAGGGAGCCTAAGGTTAATAAGTCCAATGGCTTAGTGGGTGGAGCTTACATGGGGGCGGGACGAGAATGCTCTGACAGTTAATAAATTGGGACCTACTCGCAGTACTCATAGCAGCCAACCAGAGAATTGACTGACTAAATGGCAGATTGGGAGTGGAATATAGGTTTCAATGGCTTGTGGTGAATCCCAGAGAACTCTTCCAACCAATGAGTGAGGGCGGATCCATCCTTGAAGTTTCCAATCAGGGCATATTCTGGGAGCTGTGGGGAAGGGCAGTAATCTCTTACAGGTTTCCAAATGGGGGTCTAGTTGTGATGTGTCTGCTGTCCAGCTCCTGGTTATCCAATCTCTTTTTGTCCAACTGGGAGGAAAAATATGGGAACAGGTGGAAGGGAAAGGGATCATTGGCCAAGGAGTGGAGTGAGACCTAAACCCAAGGGGTAAACTGGGGAGGGCAGGTTCAGATTTTCTTGGTGGGGTCTGGAGGTTGTCTTTCTTCCTTGCACCTAGGCCAAGATGGGAATAAACAAAGGTACCTGGTATATTTTGCTCTTGAAGAGCTGCCTCCTGGATTGAGGCTTTGACTGTTTGAGGAGATGGAAACTCCTATTCCAGACAGTGGATTAATAGATATTCCTTGGAAGAATTCTGTGAGGAGTAGAGGAGTGGGGAAGAATGGAGCAAAGATTTATGGAAGAGATGGCTCAAGTCTTGCATTCTGGAAATTTAGTATAGGCAGGGATAATGAAGGGCAAACACAGTAGAGAGACTTACACTCTCCTTTAGGTAAGCAACAGCCATAAGGCCTAAGCCTAGTTCTAACATCCTAGGCCTATGGCCTAGCTAGGGCAAAGGCCTAGTGATAGGAAGCTTCAGGTATATTCAGCCATGAGGCTGTTAATGAAGAGTACTCAGGCATAGTACTGCAGCTCTGCCTTGAGCCCTTTCTTGTCACTCCAGGTCATGGGTGAGCCTATACTGTGTGCTCAGCAAAGGGGAGCTGGGCTTCTACAAGGATTCCAAGGGTCCAGCATCTGGGAGCACACATGGTGGAGAGCCACTGCTCAGCCTGCAGAAGGCCACCAGTGAGGTGGCCAGTGACTACAAGAAAAAGAAGCACGTCTTCAAGCTCCAGTGAGCCCCCATATTGGGCAGGAGGGAGGATTCCAAGGCTGAGCTTCTCTTTCCTAGCAGGGCCTTGGCTTTCCTGGAGGACAGTTGGTGGATGGGTGGGCTGGGCCACTTCCTCAGATCTCCCAAATCCTGTGTCCTTTCCTACAGGACCCAGGATGGCAGTGAGTTTTTGCTCCAGGCTAAAGATGAGGTGAGAACTGGTTCCTTCTGTCCCCTGTGTGGACCTCAGGAATGACTGGCTGGCTAACTCCTGGCCCTCGGTGATGGGGCTGTAAAAAGAGAAGCTCAACAGGCCAGAGTTATCAGGGTTGTAATGGGAAAGCCTATGGGCTGTGAGAGCCCAAACAAGGTTCCTAACCAGGGGGGAATGGGAGAGGGTTCAGGTACCTGGAGGCCAAGATGACAAAGTCCATCCTCCTTCCCTTGGCCACTCAGGTGAGACTGGACAATGGAAAGAGTTAGCTTAAAAAGGGGGTAATGGCTGGGCATAATGGCTCACACCTGTAACTTTAACACTCTGGGAGGCCAAGGCAGGAGGATTGTTTGAGCTCAAGAATTCAAAACCAGCCTGATAATAAGTGAGCCCCCATCTCTACTAAAAATAGAAAAGTTAGCCAGGGACTGTGTTGGGTGTCTGTATTCCCAGTTAGTCAGGAGGCTGAGGCAAGAGGATCACTTCAGCCCAGGAGTTTGAGGTTGCTGTGAACTATGCTGACAACATGGTGCTCTAGCCTGGGTAACAGGGTAAGACTGTGTTTCAAAAAAAAAAAAAGTGGATGGCACCTGTGGCTCAAAGGAGTAGGGTGCTGGCCCCTTATGCCAGAGGTAGCGGGTTTAAACCCAGCCCCAGGCCCCCCCCAAAAAAGTCTTATCGTAACGTTATTGTGAGAATTAAAGTAGTTGATACATGGAGAATACTTAGCACAGGGTCTTGTGTCAGTGCTCTAGAAGCATTACTGTATTATTATTATTTTTTTTATCTCTGCAGTGGGAATTATAATATAACCCTACTGCACAGGTTTTACTGAATTAACACTCAAAAGTGCTTAGATCAGAGCCTGACACAAATGCTAACTGCGTCACCATTTTCATCATTACTCCTGTTTAATAAACGAGGAACCAAGTTCATAGAGAGTAGTCTGATTTCAGGATCATCTATTACTCCAGATCTTCTCTTCTAAATATAGACTCTGTGTGCGCTGTTTCTTCCCCCAGGAGGAGATGAATGGCTGGCTGGAGGCTGTGGCCGCCTCAGTGGCTGAACATGCTGAGATCGCCCGCTGGGGCCAGACTCTACCTACCACTTCATCCACAGATGAGGGCAACCCCAAGAGGGAGGGCGGGGAGCGCAGGGCCAGCGGGCGAAGGAAGTGACTTCTCACCCCCAGGGCCTGACACGTCTCCCTGCCCCTCTTTTCCGAACTGTGGGCACAAAGACACTTTCTTCTGTGGGGGCAGGAGCCCCTAGTTCCAGCACTGCGGACGTGCGCGCCATGATGGGCACTGGAAAGGAGGGGACTTCTCCTGCACCCTAAGAAGTGGTGGGGGGATTGTTGCCCCTATAGCCATATCTCGGCCCCTTCCCGCTCGCCACCCCCCACCCCAGGTGCTGGGGCTCCATTATTTTTATGCAATAACTGAGCTTGGTGGGGGCGGGCAGGGGGCCAGTTGAGCCAAGGCCCCTGCCCTGAACCACAGATCCTGCCCCAAGAAGCTGGGGTGGTGGGGGAGATAATTCCTGTCCCCGTCTCCACCCTAGGGATGGGCACGGGGGCGCTGGTGAGGTCCCCTGGACCATCCAGGGTGCTAGGGGGTAGGGAGGGGACACCCCTCCCCGCCTTTACCTCACTTCCAATGCTGCCTTGATCTCTGTCTGGGAGGGGGGAGTGAAGGGGCCCTAGCCCCTGCACTCTGCCGCCTCAGAGCCATGCGGTTAATTCCTGACTTAGTTTATTTTTGCAAAACCTTGACCTCCTTCTCCTCCGCCCCGCATCCGCGAAGGCTTTTTAATGGGAGGGGCGTCAAAGCTCAAAGTCTTCCTCTCTCCTCCCCCCTCCAGCTGTAAATGCCACTTCATGAGGGGAGGGGTGAGGGGAAGCTCTTTCCCTGCATGCTTCTGGCTGGAGCACCTCCCTGGAGAGTGGGGGAACCGGGTTGTGGATAGCCCCCATGGTCCCCTGGAGAAGCCGCTGGGGCCTAGGGGTGTGAGATAGTGTGGCGGGCGCACACTCTATAATACCTATAATAAATCCTTTGGCTTTGACGGTCTACGCTGATTTCTTTTCGTTTGATGGGCTGTGCCTGGGAGGAGTGAAGGGAGGGCTATGGTGCGGAGAACATCCATACTCCTTGATGTGGACTAACTTAAAGGTCTAAACACAAGTCCCCTTGACGAAGCACCTAAATGCCATAGGTAAAATGGGAACCCTAGAGGGATGTGGATTGTTTTGATTCTGGTGGTAAACTTCCTCAAAGGAGCCGCCAGGCCAGAAAAGGCGGGCCCCTTTAAGGAGGCGGAGAACTTAACTACCGCTGGCAAGCACTCCGTCCAATCGCCAGCGGCTCCCGGAGTCTCTAGCCCAATAAGCAGGCGGCGAAGGCGGGGTCAAGGTGCACACCCGGAAGCGGGTGCTGGCCGGCAGGCTCGCAGGGGGACCATGGCTGCGGCGGCGACTGCAGCAGAGGGGGTCCCAAGTCGGGGGCCTCCCGGTGAAGTGATTCATTTGAATGTAGGAGGCAAGAGGTTAGTGTAGGAGATTCCTGAGGTCTCACTCTCGAAGGCGGGGAGTTGGTGGGAATACCCGCCTCTCCTTGGGGGGAAATCCCTGTCCATCAAGGGTTGCTCCTCCCCCTGTTGGAGGCGCGAGGACCTGGAAAAACCCCTGGGGAAGGGAGGAAACTCACTAGATCCTACGAGAAGGAATCCGCATCCCTCACTCGCTCCCCATCATCACATGCATCTGCTTACCTTCCCTATCCAGATTCAGTACCTCTCGCCAGACTCTGACCTGGATCCCAGACTCCTTTTTCTCCAGGTGATTAGAAGAGTTTGGGGCGAGGGTGGAAAAGGGATGTAGGGAGACCATCCTGTCCCCTGACACCTGGTCTTTGTCCCGTCCCTGCAGTCTTCTGAGCGGACGCATCTCGACTCTGAAAGATGAGACCGGAGCAGTGAGTAGGGAAGAGCTGAAAAGGGGAGGCCAGTTAGAGGAGGGAAATGACCCCTACTCAGTCCTATTCTTTGCCCTTTCATCGTCTTCCTCACTTTCCCACAGATCTTCATCGACAGAGACCCCACAGTCTTCGCCCCCATCCTCAACTTCCTGCGCACCAAAGAGCTGGACTCCAGGTTGGCATGGATGAAAAGGAGGGAGTCCCGCGTTCTTTTCACCCCCCCCAAGAAGTCTTTTCTCTGGTTCAGAATGTCCACTTAAGCTCCAACCTGCTAAAATTCTCATTTACAATCTTGATCGTGTTAAAATTATATGTTCTTAGGCGGCGCCTATGGCTCAGTGAGTAGGGCACCGGCCCCATATACTGAGGGTGGTAGGTTCAAACCCGGACCCAAACTGCAACAAAAAAATAGCCGGGGGTTGTGGCGGGTGCCTATAGTCCCAGTTACTCGGGAGGCTGAGGCAAGAGAATCTCCTAAGCCCAGGAGTTGGAGGTTGCTGTGAGCTGTTACTCCATGGCACTGTACCAAGGGCAATAAAGTGAGGCTCTGTCTCTAAAAATAAAAAAAGAAGAAGAAAGAAGAAAATATATGTCCTTAAAATTCCTCACACACACATTTTCACTGCCCATATCATTAGTTTTTAGAATCTTGATTTCTGTAAAAATTTGCTTCACTTTGACATTCTCTGTGCAGTTTGAAAATTTCCTCCTCAGAATCTCTGCTCACCCCCACCCATACCTCAGACCCTGAAGCCTAATCAATTCTACTACTTAGGGGTGTCCACGGTTCCAGCCTCCTCCATGAAGCCCAGTTCTATGGGTTAACTCCTTTGGGTAAGTGGAAGCTCCGACTAGCATCCTTATCGAATAGAAAATCCCTCTTTAGGGATGCTACTCGTCTCTTCCCCCTTTCTCCTGAAAGAAGGGGGGGGGGGTGAGAGCTGAGAACACTGGATTTAAGTGTGAGCAGTGGGTCTGAGGGGCGTGATGGTATTCTGTGGAGGAAGAGATGGGTAAGGGAAAGGGGTCTGCTCCAGTACCCTCTAAGCTCCAGCCTTAGAGTTCTCTCATCACAGTTCGTCGCCTGCAGCTGCGGGAGGAGTTGGACCGATCTTCTTGTGGAAATGTCCTCTTCAATGGTTATCTGCCCCCACCAGGTGGGCACTCCCAATAGATGGAAGGGAGAGGAGGTGGGCTAAAGACTACATTTCCTGTAAGGCAAGGCCCTTGGGTGCCTGTACTGTGTGTGAGCTCTGAGATGTGGGACTTGTAGTTCTCCATCAAATGCCTGGGCTAATGCTGGGAAAGGAAATAGGAAACAGCATTTCCCATGAGGCTATGGGCTCCTTAGTTCTCTCTGAGGAAGCTGCCTAGAGCCTGATGGGAGTTGTAGTCCAGGTTTGACTTTTCTCATAGGGAGGCTTCAGAAGACCTGGGTTTCTTTGCAGAGAGGGGGAAAAATATTAAAGAAAAGTTCCTGACTGTAATTCCTGTGACAGTCATGATTTCACTTATTGTTACTTTACCCCTTATCCCCACTATAGTGTTCCCAGTGAAGCGGCGGAATCGACACAGCCTAGTGGGACCCCAGCAGATAGGAGGACGCCCATCCCCTGTTCGACGGAGCAACACGATGCCCCTCAACCTGGGCAATGCAGGGCTGCTGGGTCGAATACTGGATGAGAAAGCCCCTCCTTCCCCCTCCGGTATGTTTCTATCTCCTGGGAGATTAGGGCAGCTAGTTGAGGCCCTGTGACCCTTCCGTGATCCCTACTCTTTCCCTTCAAGGGCAACCAGAGGAGCCAGGGATGGTGCGCCTGGTGTGTGGACACCACAACTGGATCGCTGTGGCCTATACCCAGTTTCTTGTCTGCTATAGGTGCTTAAGGAGGGGTGGCAGGAGATCCTGAGTGCTGTTGATGGGGAGGGCTTAGGTGAGGGTTGATGATGCCCCCTCCAATCCTACAGGCTGAAGGAGGCCTCTGGCTGGCAGCTAGTGTTTTCTAGCCCCCGTCTGGACTGGCCCATAGAACGGCTGGCGCTCACAGCCCGGGTACCTGGTGGGGCTTTGGGTGAACATGATAAGATGGTGGCAGCGGCCACAGGCAGCGAGATCCTACTATGGGCTCTGCAGGCAGAAGGTGGTGGCTCCGAAATAGGTATGGCCCCAAGCCTTTTCCAGAGCCTCTAAATTCTGTGGCCCATTAAAATAACCAACCCTATAAAATTCCCCAATCTGTAAGAATTCTCTGCCCCATTAGCTCTCTTTGCCTTATTAGAATGCTCTAATTCTTTAGCATTCCATGTCCTATTAGAATTCCATGGCCTGGTAGAAAAATCCGGCCACATAAAATTCTCTCCTCCACTAGCATTCTCTGCCCTATTAGAGCTCTTTGCTCTGTTAAAATGCTCCATGCAAGTAGAATGCCAGAGCCTGTTAGAATCTGTGTTGCCAAGTTAGAGATTTCTGACTTATTAGATTGATCTGTCCCAAACAAATCTCAGTCCATATAAGAATCTGGTGCCACTACTAGCGTCCTTTTTTTGCCTTGTTGCAAATCTCACCCGTGTTAGAATTCCATACCCCTGTAGAGTCCCATACCGCATCAGAAATCAGGCCCATTGAAATCCTCTCTAATTCCTGCTGGAATCCTCTATCCCAAGAGGACTTCATGAGCCAGCTGAATCCTCTGGCCCTTGGAGTTCTTCCTGCCACCACTCTCTTCCCCTATAAGATAGAGTCTTGGCTGAGCCCTCCTTGCCCACTGCAGGAGTCTTCCATCTGGGGGTGCCCGTGGAGGCCCTGTTCTTCGTTGGGAATCAGCTTATTGCTACAAGCCACACAGGGCGCATTGGGGTGTGGAATGCCGTCACCAAGCACTGGCAGGTCAGAGTTCTGGCCAGCCTGGCTGCTCCCTTCCCAGGTTTCTGACTATCCTGAGCCAGGAAAGGGTTCCCTTCTATTCCACCTTACCTGGAGAGTCAGAGAACCCCCAAATTGGCCCAGGCTTGAGGATGTCTGTGCTAAAGGCCTAAAGAGCATCAGGGAAGCCTTCTTAGAGGAGAGGCTACAGAGCTTACATGAAAGATGGATGGTTGGGGAAGGAAGAAAGAGGATTCTCCAGGTCCTGGGTAGGGGAGCAGGAGAGGGGAGGTAGTATAGGAGGCAGATGCCCAGAAAGAGGCGAGCAAATGTCTGTCACTCTATACCCCCCAGGATGTGTCCAAAATGTACCCCTCAAAATCTACAATGTTGTTTTTCTCCTATTAAAGTGTGAGTGTTTTGGAAAATGACAGAGACAGAGACAGAAATAGAGGAAGAAAAACAGAGAAATAGACATAGACAATCAGAAAAAGGTGACAACAGTGGACAGAGGGAAACCAGGACTGAATGACTGGTAGGGGAAGGGATGCAGAGAGAGAACAGAGATGAGTTATAGGAAAGTCAGAAACAGTCAAGGAGAGGCTGAGAGACAGGGAGAGATAGACAAAAGGGATTAGAGGAGAATGTGAACAAAATGGAGATGGAGATAGGCCTGGAGCGGGGAAGCTGGGAAGAAGTGGGCAGCTTCCACAGCAGGCAGGGGAGGGCATGCCAGGAGGGGGCACCACAGAAACAAAGTCATGGAGGGGCTCCCCAGCTATCCCCTGCTCTGCACCCAGGTCCAAGAGGTGCAGCCTATCACCAGTTACGATGCAGCAGGTTCTTTCCTTCTCCTGGGCTGCAACAATGGCTCCATCTACTATGTGGGTGAGCAACAGCCTGTACCCTGTGCCTGAGAGTCTCCCTTGGGAAGTGGGAGGGGAGGCAGATAGGCTGGGGCACCTTGAAGAAACCCACTCCACCCTCCTTGTCCATCCTAGATGTGCAGAAGTTCCCCCTGCGCATGAAGGACAATGACCTCCTTGTCAGTGAACTGTACCGGGATCCAGCAGAGGACGGGGTCACCGCTCTCAGTGTCTACCTCACTCCCAAGACCAGTAAGCTCTGATCTAGCTCCCACCACTCTGCCATCACCAGCCAGTCTCAGCTTGTAGCTATCTCCTCACTTGGATAGTATGATCCAATGGGATTTACTGGG